CTATTGATTGTCACGGTTCAGATTTAGGTCTTTGTCCTTCGGAAATTCCGAATCCCCACCAGAGAGTTCACAAATTCAAGAGCCTACATCTAAGCTAGTTAGCTCATTATATACACAAATTCAATCATTGAGTTCCAACTGCAAATTAAACCCCTAATCGCTCGTAATTTGGTTAGATCCAAAATTACCAACACTAGTTATTCATTAGATATCCACTTCTCAACGTAACTATTTATTTCCAATCAAACAATTGGCACTACATCAAAGACAAAAGGAGAGGACACTAAATTTTAAGGGGAATGGCTTCAAGATGTGAGGTCTTTTTGGAGATCTTGCTTGCAATTTTGCTTCCACCTTTGGGAGTTTTCTTTAGACACGGTTGCTGCAGTGTATGAGTTACGAAACCTTATGTGCCTAGCGGGTTTCGAACTCGAGACCTCTCACTAGGCACGGTCAGGGACGGAGCTACAGCCACAACAAAGGGGGTCATGGCCCTCCCAACTTTTCATTTACGTACTCCCTGAACCGTAAACAATGCATCACTAAAGTATCTACCATAAGGAATTAAGGATGTATGGTGAATTATATGGACAGTTCAATACTTAGATCCCAAAATTCCATTTAAATATAATCATATAATTTTAAGGTCCAGTTCAAGAATATTAAATTAACAGCCAAACAGGTTTCAGATACTTGGATGCAGTTGGAGTATACCGAGTTGGAAATATACGGAGTAGAGAGCAGAGAAAAAAAATGGGTTTAAAGGCTGAGCCCAACTCCTAATATTGATATCTGAATTCTTTTTAATAAATATCAAGTAAAATATTGGTCTTGAATAATCATTTAAAATGCAAAGTAATTTCACTATGAGTACTGCTTAGATATGTGGTTCTTAGATATGTGGTTCTTATTTTCTTATTACTAATTGAAGTTTTATAGTTTCTTAGCTATGTGGTTCTTATTTTCTTATTACTCTTAAAAAATAGGATTTGTTTTATTACTTAATAATTTGTTCGAGAATTAGTGAATACTTACCTAAATAAATACTCCGTACACAGTAATGTTTATTATTTAAAGGAATTCTTAATTATTTAAGAAGGTGTTAGTATATATTGTTTCAGTTGACATATGAAATAAAGAGTTTAAGTTAATCTAATCACTCTTTGCAATACTTTTGGGAAAATCATTTTCACGCTCATCATCGCCTAACCCTTTCACCCGCACAATTCCGCTTAATTCATTTAGGCCTATTTGGGTCTTTTCAATTTCTGACTAATTTTTTCCGCCTAATTCAGCTCCTCAGTTCTCATCCCTCAATTCCTCACAATCGATTGCTAAATTAGGCTACCCCTGCATTCAGAAGTTGCAGAGGAGGATGAAGCGATACCACGGTATGGTTGTAGAAGAAGATGAGACGCCCTTGCATTCAGCCGTTGTGCCGCTCCTCAGTTTTCATCTCTCAATTGCTCACATGAACAAATCGATTACTGAAGAAGCATGGCCGAAATTGTAGATGAATTGGGAGTAATAGCAGAGGAAGACGAAGCCATGGCTGCATAAAAGGAGACGTCCCTGCGTTTTTCTTCGGTGCCGCTTCTCCTGGCCTAATACTTTGCTTAAACGACGACATTTTGTGAATAAGTATATTTTACTTTTGTTATAGGGATATGCGTATATTTTTTAGTCTCATATGCTCTCTGTGTGTTGAGGAAATTTGCACTTGAGCTTTCAGAATCAAACTTTTGTTGTATTATGATATTGTTTTCTATTTTTCATTATGTTTTGATACCACATGCTGTGGTTAATAGAGAATAGAACAAGGATTACTACGGAGTATAGGCACCTAAATTTTGCATATGTGATGTTTGATAAAATGCTTAGGTTATCTTTCTTTTATTTTTTAAATGCTATCATAAACACTTTATTCATTTTCTTTTTCATTAATTCCTTTCTCTAAAAACCGACTGTTGCTTTTAAACTTTTGAATCAATTTGGATTTTTAATTATTTCATCCATTGCCATCGATTGGTTTGGCTTAGATGTTATTGTTGTTGTATATGTTTGATTTGAGTATGAATTTAAGACAATGTGCATTTGATTATTGTTGTTATTTCAATTTATGCGTCCAAATTCCATTGAGCTCATTCTATCCCACTTTAGGGTTTGTTTGAGTTATGGCTAGAAGAATAACATGTTCGGCAGAGAACTCACAAGCGGGTTCGTTCCTCTCTTATTGGAATCCTGATAAGTCCGTATTTAGACACGCATTTGATGCGTGTTGGAGTTGGATTTTGATGGTTTTCCCAGCTTTAAGGTGTTGCAAGTCTCAATTTTAGCTCAAGTTATGTTTACCGGGCGTTGGTTCGAGTTTTGTGTTGTTTGTAGTCAAAATCAGGGAATTTGAATCCGGCACCGGCACTTGAGGAACAATCGGGATGATTTGAGAAGCATTTGAGAATGATTTGATAGCTTTGGAGGTCACCGGAAGATTCACAATGAAGATTTGAAGGAAAAGAGCTCTAGGACTGGCTTCGGGATAAAAAAGAAGACGAATAGAGCTTGAAAACGACGATCAGGATGACCTTCTGTCAATCGTTCAATCATATCTCTTTGTAGAAACAACCAATGGACACGATTCAAGTTTCATAGGAAAGCCAACTTCAAGGGCTACAAATCATATCAAGACACCTTTGCGAGAATCGGAGAGGAAGAAGGTGAAAACAGACGATGAAGTCAGATGATCTCTGCTGCGATTTCAGAAAGACACCTTCCACCGTTTTGATCATATCTCTTGATTGGATGATTCAAATCACATTCGGCAAATTGGGGTGGATAGAGGACTTCATTATCTGCAACTTTCATGAAGGAAGTTTTGTCAAATTCGGAAATTATGTAGGCACGATCGTGCCCTCAAAGTCAGACACGATCGTGCCTGAAGAGAAAAGCACCGCGGAGCTACTGCCAGCCAGGCACGATCGTGCCTGGAGGGAGGCACGATCGTGCCTGCCCAAAATGCGCGTTTTTGCTCCGGAGGCACGATCGAAGGCACGATCGTGCCTGGCATCGTGTCTGGCTCCGAAAATCCTAATTCAGCTCAAATTTCACCCGATTTTTCTATTTAAACAGCCTGTAAACCCCAGTTTTCAAGGGGGAGCTTAGAGAGAGTGCCTAGCACGAATTTTAGAGGGCTTTTTAGCCTTGTTCATCAATCTTTTGGGATTCTTTGTAAGTTCCACCTTTTTAATTAATGACAATTAATTCTTTTTATTCTAATTCTATTGATTCTTCAATTATGAATTGTGAGTAGTTTTAATTAGGGATTTGGGATTGATGAAGGGGTTAGTCATGATGTATGGCTAGATTCTTGTCGGTTTAATTGCATGAATGCCGTTTAATTTGTGTTTGAATAATTTAATTGATATCTTTTGTAACCTAGAATCGCGACTAGAATTACAATTGCATGTAGAATAAATTAAGAGAGATCTAATTTGTTCTAGGACACATTCACACACACTTAATCGTTCGTTAAGAGATTAGTAGCGATTAAGGGGCCGTAAGCTCGCTCGTCTTGGCAATAATTTAGGATCCTGTCGCATGAGAGATCAGCCTGGTCCCCTAAATTATTGTACTCTACGCCGCGAGAGCGGTAAGAACTTAGTAATGATTAGCTAGGCTCAATTAAATTAATTTCATGTAATTAGGCCTGATCTGCCAGAAATCTGGTTACCCCGGAATCGATCCCTGTTCCCTTCGTCATTAATTAGAAAGAACCCCCTAGTTTAATTGTTCGCATTAGTTTTATTTTCCAAACCAACCAATCTCGCATGACGCTTTTATTTTATTTTCTTTTTAATCGCTGAATTTAATTAATTCTTGATTCCCTTTTGTCCGTCCCTGTGGAGACGATACTCGTACTTACACCACTATATTACGATCTATTTTAAGTGCGAGAAAACACACATCAGTTTTTGGCGCCATTGCCGGGGACAATGTTGGTTTTAAGGGTTAATTAATTTCAGCGAGAATTTTTTTTAGTTAGTTTTCTTTTAGTTTTTCGTAGGATTTTTTCTGTGCTAACCTTTCAGGTAATTTCTAAGAGGTATGAGATGAACTCTGATAGAGTATTAATTCTAGAGAGAAGTGAGAGCTAGAGAGAGAAAGTGAGTAATTATATTTCTCAACTTGGAACCCCCATAATTAGCCCCTTGGGGTCTATTTATAGGTAAAAATGTGGATTTGGGCCCCTAGCCTTGGGCTTAGGAGGCCCATTACAATCAATCATGCCTTCTTTGGGCAAATAAGGCCACTAATGGGCTGAGTACAACACTTAATACATAAAATAGGAAAATACATTCTGTCCGGGCGAAGTTCGGACGATGCGGTCCATGGACGATGCGGTCCATGGACGACGCGGTCCATGGACGATGCGGTCCATGGACGATACGGTCCATGGACGATGCCGTCCCAATAAATCAGGCGATATCTTCTTTCTTGGACGCTACGTGCCTCTGGCCGGTGCGGGTGTCTGGTGTCTCTTGGGCCATTGAGTATGTGGGCTATGGGGTCCAGGCCCATATACTCTATCAAACTCATTCAACCAAATTCCTGGAAGAAGTCCTTTTCCCCAAACCTCCATGGAATTTTCACCATATACGCCATACCCTCCTTACACTCCTCCTCCTCCTCAATATTACACACCTCATCAAAATTACTCTCTGATAGAGTATATAGACTCGGACCCTGGGTATCACGACTATTGGCCCAGACAGCGGCCCGGACAGCGGCCCACATATGTTCAGTAGATAGCATTTATTTCCTTGTACACTCTATTTTATTCATGTACATCCATTAGAATAGATTAGATACCATTTATTAGCCATTTATTGGCCTTTTATTGTAACTGGGCCAGCCAGGCCCAAGCCTGGAAGCCCAACCCTCTTTTCTCCTATAAATACTCCCTATGGGAGCCATGTAAAGGGGGGAGGATTGATTGGAAAGTTGGAAGTTGGAATTTATTATACATATCACTTTATCTCTCTAGCTCTCTCTTCTTTCTAGAATTAAATACTCTATCATTTGGTGCTTTCATTGAGAGCTAGAATACATCAAGTGAGATCTCCCAAGTCAAAAAAAAAATCACCTAAAAAAACGTAGTGCCACTTCGGCTCTTGCTACGGCAACACACCCCATATATCCAATAAGGAGCAAAATGACATAAGGAACATGGCACACTACGGCCAATCCCCTCACCAACTGTCCAGAAGCTGTGTGATGATAATTGAAGCTATCTCCTCGGCCAATCGCGCCCCTGTCCTTCAACGGCCAGGGAATAGTAAGGATCCAAAGGAGAATCTGTGCCCCTTCGGCCAAGATAAGCTCATCAGCCGGCAACCGCACCGGCCCCATCAACACATTCACCGGCAACCGCACCGGCCCCGTCAACACATTCATCGGCACGCATCGGCCAAACAGCATCAGCCAGACCGTGTCGGCCAGCACACCTCTGCTAGCCTGACACACCTTCGGCCAGAGTGTTCCCTTCGGCCAAACAAGAAAGGGTGACAACACCTTTCCCAAATACTACTCAGTATACCTGCGCACCCCGGCCAAGATAAACGAACATGCATCGGCCAGCACGCTTCGGCCACAACGCATCGGCCAGCACCCATCGGCCGAGCATTTGAGGGAGACGTCCCATCGGCATCGGCAACGCATCGTCCGGTAACACCATCAGCCGGCGACGCATCGGACGGCCGCACGTCGTCCAGCCACACACCGGCCAGCAGCACACCGGCCAGCACTCATCGGCCGGCACCTCATCGGCCAGTAACACAACGGCCAGCAACGCAACGACCAAGATAAATAAGCATACATCGGCCAAAGCACAACGGCAAGAGCACAACGGCCAGAACACAACGGTCAGAGCACATCGGCCGGCACCTCATCGGCTGGCACCCCATCGGCCGGCACCCCATCGGCCGGAACCTGCACCCCCATCGGCCAGCTGTGCACTATCGTCTATCGGCCAAAGTCACAAGTCACAGAAACTCCTCACCCGGCCAAAACAGGGTCACCTCGGCCAAACAACGAGGAAGACAACCCATCGGCCAAAGATGGGGCCCCCAGCGTCCCTGGCTACCATCGGCGGACCCTCATCCACCACGCCTCCCCGGTTACCATCGGCCCCAAATTACGGCCCCCTACGCCAGACAGGGACCCCCCATCCATCAATACGCTGGGCCGATGAAGAGTAACAGCGCACCCAGGCCTGGGGGCGGCCTCACCTCTGGTCCTCGCGACGCCCGGCACAGCGGGGATCTCCTCGTCCGCAAGCCACGTCAGCGACGCAGGAAATGTCCTCGTCACTCTTCACGCTCCACTCCTTCGAACTGATCTTCTCCCCTTACGGATGAAATGCATAAGACATGGTCTGGACCTCCTAGCATCTCAAATAAAACATTGGGCTACTGGAGTATGGACCGGCTGTTTAATCTCCAGGGCTGGACTTCTTAAAGAGCAGGCCCAATCTTATATTTCCCTGCTTGAATACTAAGCAGGGCAGGCTTCGGACCAAATACAAGTAAGTCTCACAAACTTTTCCTCCTATTTTATGCATTAAATATGGAGCAAAATAGTTTTATCACTACTAAAAAAAAATATAGTTTTACTACTATTCCGAAAAAATAGTTTTACTACTATTCCAAAGAGAAAAAAAATATAGTTTTACTAACTATTCAAAAGAAAAACAATAATAATAATAAAAATAATAATAATAATAATAATAATTACTACCGTTATTATTATTATCACCATTGCTAGCGGATTAAAATCCCCAATTGGTGCGGGCCAAAGCCTTAGCCTTCCGAACATCTTTATTTGATGATTCGGATCATATTTGGGTCCATTGACCTACCATGGTCATCTTTATTTGATGACCCGGGCATCTAGAATGAGAGCCATCAACGGCCGCACACGACATTATGCCTAGAAGCGGTACACCTCATTCCCCTACACGCTAATTGCGTCATCCAAAAGCCGTTGCAATAAACAACGCACCTAAAGCCGTCGCAATAAACGACGCACCCAAAGCCGTTGCAATAAACAACGCACTCAAAGCCGTTGCAATAAACAACGCACCTAAAGCCGTCGCAATAAACGACGCACCCAAAGCCGTTGCAATACACAACGCACCTAAGGCCGTTGCGATCCACAACGCGCCTACAAAGCCGTTGCAATAAACAACGCAACTAAATATCGTATCGGCACAAGCGGTGAAACACCCAAATCGGCCGGCGATATGCAGGACGAAGGACCTGTGTGCATGGTCCAACGTCTTCAAACGGAGAAGCATACCGCGTCGTCCGCGCGGAAACCGCAGGACGACAGGCCTGAATTAAGGCTGAGGTTACAAAAACTCCACCCGTCAGTAAAATTTCGGTCAGGACCACAAAGGGCGGCCGTCAAAAGACGATGCCTAGTCCGGTCCCTCGTCGCCGATAGACGTGGAAAGGCAAAAAAGGATGCCACTGACACACCAAGCCGAGGGCGTATTTACTCCCTCGCACTAACACACGCGAAAAGCGTAGCGGACAAAATACCGCACATGGACGAAGGGACAGTAACCCTTCGGCCATCCAAAAAAAAAAAAAAAAAAAAGAGGGAAGCCGACGGACCGCGCACTTGCCGACCTCGAGCAATAAAAATAAATAAATTCCCCAAACTTATTATTCATCTCAAGACCGGCTCCCAATGCCGAAGCTCTTGCTCCATCATCTCATGAACGGCCTCCCCAACGCCGTCATACTTTTATATGACGATCGGCTTCATCATCGCCTCGTCATCATTATCCGGATCGGCTCATCATCATCGCCATCTGCTCATCACCACCGGGCCCCCCGGCCTCGGCGTGGTGCTTTATCTCAAGACCGGCCTCCCCAGCGCCAAGTGTCTTGAGCTAGCGACCGGGCTCGCCATTCCCCTCCTGGATGGCGACTATCGCTTCTACATGACGATCGGCTTCATCATCGCCTCGTCATCATTATCCGGATCGGCTCCTCATCGCCATCCGCACATCACGACCGGCCTCCCAGCCTTGACGTGATTATTTCTCCTCAAGACCGGCTTCTCATTGCCAAGTGTCTTGAGTTGGCAATCGGGCTCGCCGTCCCTTCCTGGATGGTGACCGTTGCCTCTACATGACGATCGGCTTCATCATCGCCTCGTCATCATTATCCGGATCGGCTCATCATCATCGCCATCCGCACATCACGACCGGCCTCCCAGCCTTGGCGTGATTATTTCTCCTCAAGACCGGCTTCTCATTGCCAAGTGTCTTGAGTTGGCAATCGGGCTCGCCGTCCCTTCCTGGATGGCGACCGTTGCCTCTACATGACGATCGGCTTCATCATCGCCTCGTCATCATTATCCGGATCGGCTCCTCATCGCCATCCGCACATCACGACCGGCCTCCCAGCCTTGACGTGATTATTTCTCCTCAAGACCGGCTTCTCATTGCCAAGTGTCTTGAGTTGGCAATCGGGCTCGCCGTCCCTTCCTGGATGGTGACCGTTGCCTCTACATGACGATCGGCTTCATCATCGCCTCGTCATCATTATCCGGATCGGCTCATCATCATCGCCATCCGCACATCACGACCGGCCTCCCAGCCTTGGCGTGATTATTTCTCCTCAAGACCGGCTTCTCATTGCCAAGTGTCTTGAGTTGGCAATCGGGCTCGCCGTCCCTTCCTGGATGGCGACCGTTGCCTCTATATGACGATCGGCCTTCACATCGCCTCGCCATCATATGTTGGACCGGCTCATTATCGCTGTCGTCCTTACATCGCGTCCGGCCTCTCGGCTAAGGCGTGATACCTTATCTCAAGACCGGTCTTAGTCATCCCTTCCCAGATGGCGACCGTTGCTTGGATCTTCGGATCGGCTCATCATCATCGCCATCTGCATGTCACGATCGGCCCCCCGGCCTCGACGTGATGATCTAGCTCAAGACCGGCTCCCTTAGCGCCAAGTGTCTTGAGCTAGCGACTGGGCTTGCTATTCCCTTCTGGGATAGCAACCGTCGCCTCTACATGACGATCGGCTCATCTCCGCCTCGTCATCATCATTATTCGGATCGGCTCATCATCATCGCCATCCGCACATCACGACCGGCCTCCCAGCCTTGGTGTGATTATTCCTTCTCAAGACCGGCTTCTCATCGCCAAGCGTCTTGAGTTGGCAATCGGGCTCGCCGTCCCTTCCTGGATGGTGACCGTTGCCTCTACATGACGATCGGCCTTATCATTGCCTCGTCATCATATCTCGGACATGCTCCTCAGCATCTTCGTCCTCACATCACGATCGGGCCCTTCGGCCACGACGTAATGCTTTATCTCAAGACCGGCTCCCTCAGCGCCGAGTGTCTTGATCTAGCGATTGGGCTTGCTATTCCCTTCCGGGATAGCAACCGTCGCCTCTACATGGCGATTGGCCTATCATTGCCTCGTCATCATACATTGGACCGGCTTATCATAGTCGTCATCCTCGCATCGCGGCCGGCCTCTCGGCCAAGGCACGGTACCTTATTTCAAGACTGGTCTTAGTCATTCCTTTACTGGGTGGCGACCATTGCATGGATTTTTGGGTCGGCCCCTCAGTGCCGATCATGGCAGGCCCTCGGCCTCGACATGATCATATTCCCCAAGACCGGTCTCAGTCATTCCTTCATCGGATGGCGACCGTTGCTTGGACGTTTGGCTCAGCCTCATAGTGCTGACGACCTCGCATCACGATCGGCCCCCCCGGCCTCGACGTGATGCCCTATCTCAACACCGGCTTTATCAGCGCCAAGTGTGTTGAGCTAGCGATCGGGCTCCTCATCCCTTCCTGGATGGTGACCGTCGCCTCTACATGACGACCGGCTCATCTCTGCCTCGTTATCATTATTCGGATCGGCTACCCATTATCGTCATCCTTATATCACGACCGCCGCCCCGGCCTCGGCGTGATGATCTATCTCAACACCGGCTTCATCAGCGCCGAGTGTGTTGAGCTAGCGATCAGGCTCGCCATCCCTTCCTGGATGGTGACTATCGCCCCTACATGGCGACCGGCTTATCATCACCTCGTCATTGTTATTTTGGATCGGCTCCTTATCACGGCCGTCCTCACATCACGATCGGCCCCTAGGCCACGATGTGATGTCCTATCTCCGAGATCGGCCTCTTATTGCCGAATGTCTTGGGTTAGCGATCGGGCTCTCCATCCCCTCCCGGATGGCGATCGTCGCCTCTATATGACGATCGGCTCATCATTGCCTCGTCATCGTATCATCAGACGGGCGTCCAACGCCTCGTCCTCATATTCAGACAGGCGTCCAACGCCTCGTCCTCATATTCAGAAAGGCGCCCAGCGCCTCATCCTCATATTCAGACAGGCGCCCAGCGCCTCGTCCTCATATTCAGACAGGCGTCCCACGCCTCGCCCTCATGTTCGGATCTAGCAAACATCTTGCGGTCTCTGGCTCAAAGACTAAAGGATCCCTGATCTCATCTACAGGCCCATCGGCCATATATCTTGCTCTGTCATCTTTATTTGATGACGAGAATCTCATCTACAGGCCCATCGGCCATATATCGCTCTGTCATCTTTATTTGATGACGAGAAGCTCATCTACAGGCCCCTCGGCCATATATCGCTCTGTCATCTTTATTTGATGACGAAGAGCTCATCTACAGGCCAATCGGCCATATATCGTTCTGTCATCTTTGTTTGATGACGAAGAGCTCATCTACAGGCCCATCGGCCACATATCGTTCTGTCATCTTTATTTGATGACGAGGAACTCATCTATAGGCCTCTGAGCCATATCTCGCCCCGTCGTCTTTATTTGACGACGTGGAGCTCTTATGCAGGCCCCTCGGCCACACATCGCCCCGTCGTCTTTATTTGACGACGTGGAGCTCTCATATATGCCTCTTGGCCACTACTCCCAGTCATCTTTATTTGATGATGTGGAGCTTATATCGGCCCGTCGGCCTTATATTCTGGTCATCTTTATTTGATGAACCAGACATCACATTATGGACGGTCGCTCGACCCATCCCTTAGTCATCTTTATTTGATGACTAGGACTACTGATCATGACGAGCTACCCACATCTAGAGATCAGCCTCGGCCATCCCCTCAGCAGACGGACACCGCTGCAGCTCCATCTCTAGGCCGAAGGGCTCGCACCTTTTGCTTCGTTTTGGGGGCATCCGGTGTACTCTTTTTCCCTCATTAGGATTTTTTCCCACAGGGTTTTTCCTAATGAGGTTTTTAACGAGGCATCTCCCCATTGTGGATCAAAAGGTGTCAACCCTCGGCCCCCTGTTGCAGACATCATCAGACATGCATTACT